ACTTTTTGCTATTGAGCGGTTCCATATCATTAAAGCAACGAGTAATTTTCATCTTTTTTGATTTGCATGAAACCTTGCATACCTTGGGAAGAAAAACGCCGTTTTGCATACTTGGTTCGCCATTTTGAATCTAGCCTTACTTATGAGAAGGGCCTATGAAAAATGCACATGATATCTTCAAAAAATTGTATCTCGGAAACGGTTTGTCCGATTGGTTTGGTGTCTTGGGCGAAGTTTTAGACAATTGTTGGTGTTATATGGAGAAAATATGCACGGTAAAAAAAAAAGTTTGGTATTTGTGTTTTGAACTAAAATATAAATTTTCCCTTTAAAGTGACATGTCAATAATTTTTTTATTATCCTTATGTTATCCTGTTAGGCGATATGCAAGAGTTGAATGCACATTTTCAGCACAACGCACCAAAAATCACTTGAAGAAATCATTGTTCCTGATAGTGGGATTTTGTAACTTGTTTTTCAAAATACTTTTAAGGCAGAGAATTTCACTCGAATCTTTAAGCTGTCAGTGTCATTTTAACTCAAAATTTTCCAATCTTTCCGAAAAAAATACTTTTGAAACTGGAAAAACACGGAGTACATCCGAAAAGGGCCAAAACTTATTAAGTTATCAAAAAAAACAATATTAAATCAGTAATATCTTCTAAACGGTGCATCTTAGAAAAATGTTACCAAAGTACTTTTTGTTTGCAAATTTGATGTACTTTCATAAAATTAGGGTGACAAACTTTTTTGACTTTTCTTAATAGCTTTTTTGAAAATTGTATTTTTTTAAAAAACAATTTTTTTCATTGTAACCTATTTTTCTCCAGAACAACCTACTGTGCACTAGATAGCATTTTCAGTCAGCTATAACATAAGGATAATAAAAAAATTATTGACATGTCACTTTAAAGGGAAAATTTATATTTTAGTTCAAAACACAAATACCGAACTTTTTTTTTACCGTGCATATTTTCTCCATATAACACCAACAATTGTCTAAAACTTCGCCCAAGACACCAAACCAATCTGACAAACCGTTTCCGAGATACAATTTTTTGAAGATATCATGTGCATTTTTCATAGGCCCTTCTCATAAGTAAGGCTAGATTCAAAATGGCGAACCAAGTATGCAAAACGGCGTTTTTCTTCCCCAAAAACTTGTATGCAAGGTTTCATGCAAATCAAAAAATACAAAAAATAAAAACTGGAAAAATTTCCCACTTGTTCGTGGAACCGCTCTATTACCAGAAATCGATTAATAAGAGCTTACCCTGCAAAGTGAATCTGAAATTTTCCGAAGATATTCAATACTTTTCAAAACTTCCAATGCTATTCCAAACTTTTCTTGAGTGATTCCAGACATTTATGATGTGATTTTGAATTTTTCTGAACTTATTCAGTACCTTTCAGAAGTGATTCCAACCTTTCTGACGTGATTCAGTGTACTTTCCTAAATGTTTTCAAACTTTTCTGAAGTGATTAAGTACTTTCCAAAGTAGTTCAGTACTTTTACTAGTATTAGTACTAGTACTTGAAATGATTTAATACTTTTCAAAGGTATTCAAAACTTGTCTGAAGTGATTGAGTACTTTCCGAAGTGATACAGTACTTTCTGGAGTGATTTCGAGCTTTTACGAAGTGATTCCAGACATTTTTAAATGTGATTCAGTACTTTCTGATGTGATTCCAAACTTTTTTGAAATGATTCAGGACTTTCAGGTGTAATTTCGTACTGTTAGGAGTGATTTCAATCCTTTCTGAAGTACATTCCGGAATGATTTCGAACTTTTCAGAAGTGGTTCCAGACATTTCTGATGTGATTCCAAACCTTTTTGAAGTGAGTCAGGACTTTCCGATGTAATTCCGTACTGTTAGGAGTGATTTCAAGAATTTTTTAAATGATTTAATACTTTTCAAAGGTGTTCCAAACTTTTCTGAAGTGATTCAGTACTTCTAGAAGTGATTCCAAATGTTTCTGAAGTGATTCAGTACTTTCCTAAATGTTTTTTTTTTAAACTTTTATGAAGTGTTTAATTACTTTCCAAAGTAGTTCACTACTTTTAGGAGTGATTCCAAGAATTTTTGAAATGATTCAATACTTTTCAAAGGTATTCCAAACTTTTCTGAAGTGATTCAGTACTTTTAGAAGCGACTTAAATCCTTTCTGAAGTGATTCAATACTTTCCGAAGTGATTCCTAACTTTTCTGAAGTGATTTCAGACATGATTGAGTACTTTCTGATGTGATTCAGTACTTATTATTAATTATTCCAAACTTTTTTGAAGTGATTCAGTACTTTTCAAAATAATTCAGTACTTTTAGGACTGATTCCAAGAATTTTTGAAATGATTTAATATTTTTCAAAGGTGTTCCAAACTTTCCTGAATTGATTCAGTATTTTTATGAGTGATTACAATCCTTACTGAAGTGATTTTAAACTTTTCTGAAGTGGTTCAGTACCTTCCGAAATGATTCCAAACTTTTTTGAAGTGATTCAGGACTTTCCTATGTAATTCCGTACTTTTAGGAGTGATTCCAAGAATTTTTTTTAATGATTTTATTCTTTTAAAGGTATTCCAAACTTTTCTGAAATGATTCAGTACTTTTAGGAGTGATTTCAATCTTTTCTGAAGTGATTAAATACTTTTCGGATTGATTCCTAACTTTTCTGAAGTGATTTCAGACATGATTGAGTACTTTCTGATGTGATTCAGTACTTATTATTAATTATTCCAAACTTTTTTGAAGTGATTCAGTACTTTTCAAAACAATTCAGTACTTTTAGGACTGATTCCAAGAATTTTTGAAATGATTAAATATTTTTCAAAGGTGTTCCAAACTTTCCTGAAGTGATTCAGTATTTTTATGAGTGATTTCAATCCTTACTGAAGTGATTTTAAACTTTTCTGAAGTGGTTCAGTACTTTCCTAGATGACTCCAAACTTGTTTGAAGTGATCAAGTACTTTCCAAAGTAATTCAGTACTTTCAGAAGTGATTCCAAGAATTTTCGAAATGATTTAATATTTTTATGAGGGATTCCAAACATCCCTGGATTGATTCTCTACTTTTGGGAGTGATTTCAATCCTATTCTGAAGTGATTTCAATCCTTTCTGAAGTGATTCAGTACTTTCCGGACTGATTCCGAACTTTTGTAAAGTGATTCATTTATTATGTGATTCAGTACATTCTGATGTGATTCAATACTTTGCGAAATGATTCCTAACTTTTTTGAAGTGATTTAATACTTTCCAAAATAATTCAGTGCTTTTAGGATTCATTCCAGGAATTTTTAAATGATTACGTATTGTTTAAAGATGTGCCACACTTTTTTGAAATGATTTAGTACTTTTAGGAGTGACTTAAATACTTTCTGAAGTGATTCAGCACTTTTCGAAGCGATTAAGTACTGTCCGGCGTTATTCTGAATTCTTCTGAAGTGATTACAGACATTTCTGATGGGATTCTGTACTTTCTTATGTGATTCCAAACTTTTCTGGAGTGGTTCAGTACCTTCCGAAATGATTCCAAAGTTTTTTGAAGTGATTCAGTACTTTTCAAAATAATTCAGTACTTTTAGGACTCATTCCAAGAATTTTTGAAATGATTTAATATTTTTCAAAGTTGTACCAAACTTTTTTGAAGTGATTTAGTACTTTTAGGAGTGATTTCAATCCTTTCTGAAGTGATTCAGAGTACTTTCTGGAGTGATTCCGATCTTTTATGAAGTGATGCCAGACATTTCTGATATGATTCAGTACTTTCTGAGGTGATCCAGTACTTTTTTTTCCCTTCCGTCGATCTTGTTTTCCGTGCTGAACACCAATGCTACCGACGCTAGGGAGGCAGCTCCCACACATGGACCCTACCTATCGACCCATCAACTCATGAACCTGGGACCAACGGCTTTACTTCCTTTCGTGATCAGAAATGTTATGCCTCAGAACATCCCGACGGCGCCGACTGGGATTGAACCCAGGTCTGCTGGGGTGAGAGGAAATCACGCTTACCACTACACCACCGGCGCCGCTATTCAGTACTTTCCGAAATGATTCAAATTTTTTTGAAGTCATTAAGTACTTTCCAAAGTAATTCAGTGCTTTTAGGAGTTATTCCAAGAATTTTTGAAATCATTTAATACTTTTCAAAGGTATGCCAAACTTTCCTGAAGTGTACTGTTATGAGTGATTTCAATCCTTTCTGAAATGATTCAGTACTTTCCGGAGTGATTCCGAACTTTTCTGATGTGATTCCAGACATTTATGTGATTCAGTACTTTCCGAAATGATTCCAAACTTATCTGAAGTGATTTCAAGTTTTTTTTTAAGTCATTAAGTACTTTCTAAAGTAATTCAGTACTTTTAGTATTTCAAGAAAATTGTAAAGAGAACTACAGTAATTCTCAAAACATGTTCAAATGAAATCGGAGAAGGTTGTTAAAGAAAAGTACAGCAACTTTAGCGGAAGAAACGGAGCACTATGGTAAAGTTTGAAGAACATTCAACATTCCATAAAAATGACTAGTAAAGCTTAATGGAAGAAGCTTAGAATGCCTCCAGACTTATGGGTATTTTCGAAAAACTCTGGATTGAATATATTTTAGAGCTAATAGGGATAGTTTCAAGAAAATATTTGAAGGTTTTCTAGAAGTAAGAGAGCTTCTTGTAATAATGAGATTAACTTTTCTGTAATGCAACTATTTGTTATGCCTCAACTGTCCAGTTTTTGCAATGCATTGTGAGTGGATCTTAACTCTGAAATGGTCCCGGAGCCATTCAAGACTTGAGTTTCCAAGTAATTCCAAGAAATCAACTTCAATGCAAACCCGACGCTTTCTGGTAAATCCCAACTGTCCTCGAACTGGTAACTTATTGGATCTTACCATATTCTGTATACCTTTCCTACGTATAAGAAGGGTAAAATCCAACAAGTTACCAGTTCGCGGACACCCAAACGCCCAATTTCTCATCTCACTAACCACCCAAACTCCCTTTCCAGGCAAACACTACATGGACCACGCCGGTGCAACTCTCTACGCGGAGTCGCAAATCCGTGCCGTCCACGAGCTGCTGGCCGAAAATCTGTTCTGCAACCCCCACAGCAGTCCGCTAACGGGAAAACTGTTGGAGCAAGTCCGCCACCGAGTGCTCAAGTTCTTCAACACCCACCCGTCGGAGTACAGTCTGGTGTTCACTTCCGGTGCGACCGGTAGTCTCAAGCTGATAGCGGAGAGCTTTAACTTCCACCCAGAGAACGCTCCCGGATCCCAGGAGGAGGGAGCCTTCGTCTACCTGCGGGACAATCACACTTCCGTACTGGGGATGCGAGCCATCGTGGGGACCGATCGGATTGATGTCCTCGAACGGGAGGATTTCTTGCGGCACATGAAGCTGTCGGCACAGTCATCCAGTCAGAAGAAGCCGTCGTTGTTCGTGTTTCCGGCGCAGAACAATTTCAACGCCTCCAAATACCCGTTGGACTTGATTGAGGAGGTTCAGCTCAATGGGCTGTCGGGGTATGCCGATGAACGGTTCTACGTGTGCCTGGATGCAGCTAGCTACGTATCGACGAACTTTTTGGATTTGAGCCGCTACCATCCGGATTTTGTGTGCATGTCTTTCTACAAGATTTTCGGGTGAGTAGAGTCGGAAGGTCTGGGTTCAGTTGAAATGACCGTTTTGATTTTCCGATAGGTACCCAACGGGTTTGGGGGCACTGTTGATCCGCAACGGATCAGAGCACGTCTTGGATAAGAAGTACTACGGTGGAGGAACGATCAAGATCTTGCTTAGCGGGCAGAATCTGCATCTCAAGCACGATGACCTGGTGGTGCGATTCGAGGACGGGACTCAACCATTCCTTTCGATCATTTCGCTTCTGGAGGGGATGAATACGATTCAGCGGTTGATTCCGGCTGCCAACGGGTATCGATCGATGGAGCGGATATCGAAGCATGTGTTCAATCTGGCAAAGTATTGCTATCGGAAGCTGACACCCCTGCGGCATGCAAATGGTAGAAAGGTGATCCTTTTCTACGTGGATTCCCAGTACGAGACACGTGACCGTCAGGGGGGAATCGTTACGTTCAATGTGCTGACGGAGGACGGCAGTTATGTTGGGTTTTCGGAGTTTGCTCAGGTGACTCGCCAGCATGAGATCTACGTCCGGACGGGGTGTTTCTGTAACGCCGGAACCTGTCAGCGGCATCTTGGACTTGCCGACGAGGATATATTGATGTTCTATAAAATGGGCAAGGTCTGCGGAGACGAAACGGATATGATCGAGGGTCAACCCACGGGAACGGCGCGGGTTTCGTTTGGGTACATGAACAAGAAGGAGGATGTCGATCGGTTGGTGGAGATGATACGGGATTGCTTCGTTTCGAAGACGGTGAGCAAGGTGGCAGTGGTAAGTCCCATGAGAAAGGTGGTCAAGAACGAAGGCCTAACGCTGAAAGCGATCTATGTCTATCCGATTCGATCGTGCGGTGCGTTCCCGGTAACCAGCCGATGGCCTTTGGCCGATCGTGGCTTAAAACACGATCGCGAGTTCACCATCGTGGATAGCAATGGAAACCCGATGTTGCGAACAAAGCATTCAGAGATGTCCACGATCATGCCGAAAATCGATCCAAATCATGGCATCCTCATCCTGACGCATCCATCGATGAACGATTTGGTTCTGAACTTTAACAAACTTCCCTTGGGATCAGACTTTCAGTCGGGTGATTGTGGCGAGGAGGCAGCTGCGTGGGTTAGTCGAGCTCTACGAATGCCGAGACTTAGGCTATTACGAACCTCGATGGACGATCGGAAGCCGGCACCTAAGCTGTTGATGATCAATTGGGATGCGCTGAGATCGCTTGGCGATGGGGATGATGTCGACGATGGACTGACGATGTCCTGGTTGATTGAGCATTTCCGAGGCAGCCTGGTCGTGGAAGGGAATGCCGGCGCGGATGTACATAGCTGGAAGGAGCTTAAGATCGGCAACAGCCGGTTCAAGGTGGCTGCAAGCTGCACTCGTTGTCCGATGATTCATGTAGATTCGACGGGAGATGCCATTTCGGCGGATTCGTTGAAGGCGATTGCCAATGTGTTTTCCAGGAAGGTTCCCCTGGGTGTCTACTTGGCTTGTGTCGAAGACGGAGGATCAACGGGTTTCCTAGAGTGTGGCACTACGTTAGACCCGGCAATGAAACAAAGCGATCATCCTGAGGTTCAGATCATTACGGATTCTGTTTCCAGGTATAACTTTCTAGTTAAGTAATCAGACCAACATTTTCAGAAAATTAAATAAATTGACAATTTTCATGCAACGTTGTGTTTTCATTTGAAGATTCACAGACTCGCACACCGAACTGCATGTAGTAAACAAACGGCAGCTCTGTGTTTACTGTTATGCAAATGCAAATGTTGCAAAACGAGGCGCGCGCATGGCGGCCCCGCGCCGGCTCGGTAATCCTCATTCATCTGCATGCTTCCATTATTTTTCGCGTTGATAATAAGTGAGCACCGTGTGATGGTGGCTCACTTTCTCCTCTAAACGGCCCACTTTGAGAAGGCGGTAGAAGAAGTGGACCGGCCTTTATTTACTTTTTTTTAACAGTTTCAAACACGACGACTGGTGGTGGAGCATACTATTTCCAGCTGAGCTGTTTCCCACATCGCACCGATAAACAGACAAATTTATATAGTACATAGCTGTTGTACTAGCTGGTGTTTGACAAGCAGGAGGTGCCGGCGCACCGACGTGAAACCGGCTTCGGTCGTATGAGCTAATTATTAATTCTAATTGTTATAATTACCTTCCCTAGTTGAACTGTCATGTTTCGACAAGCTGAGTTGTGTATGTGGTTGATAAATTGACGAGAACAGCACTGCACAAGTGGCATAACAGTTGTTTCTAACCGACCGATGGAAATTTTAAGGTATCAGCATCGGAGACAGATGCAGGTGGTGGTTTAGCTCAACATGTTGACTTCCAGAACTCTCCTGACTCTCTTTCCAAAAATCTATCTCGTCTACGGAGTCGCAGACAGGGTGGCTAGTGAATTTTCATTTTGAAATTCCTGGTTTTTCCGATTAAAATCTCGCACATTTCCCGGATGGTAATATTCAACAATAAACGAAAATGTTCAATGATGACTTTTTACAGCTTGATTTAAATGAGATGTAGGGAAAATTGTTGAACATCTCGGAGAAAGAAAACGTGTTAAAACTCCGTAGTCTATACTAACAAATGTTTAAAATAAATGGGGTTTAAGAAACTTTCTTTAATTCTGAGGATTTGACAGGGTCTAAGACAACTAATTATTTCGATTTATAAACATTTTCGTGATCCTATATTTAAAAAAAGGGTTGTGTCCTATTTTAATGTTTTAAAAGTATTTTAATGTTTCAGTTATGGTTCACTTTTTTTTTCCTTGGTTTGTTTTCCGTACTGAGCACCAATGCTACCAACGCCAGGGAGGCAGCTCCCTCACCTGGACCTATCGACCCATCAACTCATGAACCGATTTGGCACATATAACTTTTCCGCGTTTCGGTTTAGTGAAACGGGACCCAAGGCTCATTCCTAATTGTGAAAGGTGTTCACGCCGTCCACCTTTAGCCACTGACTTGGAACGATGTACAACCAAATGGTACTCGATTATGACGACTGGGTTAGGGAAAATCGTTTATTTCATGAAAACAGAGATAAAATTATCATTTGTACATTTTTCAAATGTTTTTAGAGAAAATTTAAAAAAAAAAAGTTTCGTAATGTAATATCCTATCGATTGGCGTATTTGGAATTTATTTTCATCTATAAATGACAAAGTTACAAGCGTTCAAAACCTAACACTATTTCATCACACATATTTTTTGATTTGCACCCCAGTATAGTCGACAAAGACGTAGTTCTACGTCAAAAAAAAATCGTACAATTTGGGACTGAGAAAATACTCAAAGGATTTAATCAATATCCATGATCCTAGATTTGAACAATACCAAAATAATTATAATCGGCGAAAATGTTCTAGGCTTGGAAGATAGAATCGATAGAATTTTGATGAAAATTTCGGGGAATTTTGAGGTAAATTTTAAAAGAATTTAAGTGTTGTTTTCTAGTGGCGCCGTTGGTGCAGTGGTAAGCGTGCCTGCCTCTCACTTCAAAGGGCCTGGGTCCAATCCCAGTCGGCACCGTGGGAATTTTCTGAGGCATTAAATCTCTGATTACGCCTTCGATAGGTATGGTCCAGGTGTGGGAGCTGCCTTCCTGGCGTCGCACAGTGCGGCAGCGAAGCCATTCGCGTGGCCAAAACCTCTAGCGCCGTTGGTTTGCTTTCTACAGTGATACAATGTTCTACAAAGTTGCTCAATATTAAAAGCGCCTTATTTTGAAAGCTTCATATTAGTTCATTTTTACGCCACATAGGTGGAAGCAATGCAATTTGGATTGCTTGCGATCCGTGGATTAAAACCGTATGGACAGAGGCTGGCATTGGATACCATTTATAAAGGCTAACATAAAGACGAGCTGTTTCTACAGCAAAATTTCGAAATGCTGTTATGTTGATCGAAAATCCGGAGGACAACGTACGAAAAATTGTATCGCATCGGTCAATTAATTCTTCATTAATACCAGTTATTGCACTTATTTGGGTTGCGTTAGTGAAGAATCTGCGTGCTTCTGTGCTTGTGTTTCTGATTGTTTGTAATCTATTCAGATCAATAACATCTTATTGCGCGTTTCACACCAAATTGGACTAATAAAGGGTGATACGGTCAAAATTTGGTCAATATCAACTTGACGTATTTCTTTCAATTTTGCATTTAAAAAACCTGAACACCCCTCATTTTGAAGGTGTGTGTGTGTAGAATGTTGCTCCTATTTTGATTTTGGAATTCACTCTTCAGTTGTCAAAATGCCGTCCAAGCAAGAAGAGCAGCGTATCAAAATTTTGCTCGCGCATCGCGAAAATCCGAGCTACTCGCACGCAAAGTTGGCAAAATCGCTAAAAGTTGCCAAATCAACCGTTACAAATGTAATTAAAGTGTTTGGGGAACGTTTGTCGACAGCCAGGAAGTCTGGAATCGGGGAAATCGAAAACCGGAAGCCGCTGAGACGACAAAGAGAGTTGCCGGTAGTTTCAAGCGAAACCCTAACCTCTCTCTCCGAGATGCCGCAAATAAGCTGGGTGTATCGTCTACAACCGTGCATCGAGCCAAAAAACGAGCCGGACTATCGACTTACAAGAAGGTAGTGACTCCAAATCGCGATGATAAACAAAATACGACGGCCAAAGCGCGATCCCGGAAGCTGTACACGACGATGCTGACGAAGTTTCACTGCGTGGTAATGGACGACGAAACCTACGTCAAAGCCGACTACAAGCAGCTTCCGGGACAGGAGTTTTATACGGCAAAAGGAAGGGGAAAGGTAGCAGATGTTTTCAAGCACATGAAACTGTCAAAGTTCGCAAAGAAATATCTGGTTTGGCAAGCCATCTGTACCTGTGGCTTGAAAAGCAGCATTTTCATAGCTTCCGGGACTGTCAACCAAGAAATTTACGTGAAAGAGTGTTTGAATAAACGTCTGCTGCCTTTCCTGAAGAAACACGGTTGTTCCGTACTGTTTTGGCCGGATTTGGCATCTTGCCATTACGGTAAAAAGGCCATGGAGTGGTACGCCGCCAACAACGTGCAGGTGGTTCCCAAGGACAAGAACCCTCCCAACACGCCAGAGCTCCGCCCAATTGAGAAATACTGGGCTATTGTCAAGCGGAACCTAAAGAAGACCAAAAAAACTGCTAAGGGCGAGCAGCAGTTCAAGGCAAACTGGCTTTCTGCGGCGAAGAAGGTGGACAAGGTGGCTGTACAAAATCTGATGGCAGGGTTCAAGCGTAAGGCCCGGCAATTCGGATTTGGAAAAGCGGAAGCCTAACTGAATATTTTTCCTGAATTTTATACTAATTGAACTTGAAAAAGAAATTTAATTTGATTTTTTAAATAAACGATTTCACCGATTTACACGCGTTTTCCCTTGACCAAATTTTGACCGTATCACCCTTTAAGCGCGTTTTCACTTATTAAAAAGTGTGATAAAACTGCAAGTTTACGTCTAATCGTCTTGGTCTCTTCGGTGCACTTATTTCTTATGATGCAAGCAATAAGTGCTCCGAAGACATCAAAACTATTTGACTGAAACGTTCACTTTTATCACATTTTTTGCCTTTTTTGGACAGTCCAGTTTTAGATGCAATCAGCAATATCATGTTTAAATCTAACTCCATGTTTGATGCTATTCAAACTGGAGTAAAATTTGCAAATAATATTGTCATGACTTTAAAATTCAGTAATGGATTTTAAAGCATTAAATATTGTAAATTGGAATGCTCGATCTCTTAAAGATAATGAAGACGAGCTATTTAACTTTTTAAGAGTTCATAACGTGCATATTGCCGTTATAACTGAAACGTTCCTTAAACCTGCCCATAAGGTTAAGAAGGACGCAAATTACTTGATTTATAGAAATGATCGTCTTGATGGACCCTGTGGTGGCGTTGCCATCATTATTCATAGACGAATCAAACATAAAATTCTTTCTTCATTTGAAACCAAAGTTTTTGAAACTTTGGGGGTTTCTGTTGAAACAAAATTTGGACAACTTACGTTTATAGCTGCCTATTTGCCATTCCAATGCGTAGGCCAGCAAAAGAATTTTCTCAAGGGTGACCTCCAGAAACTTACCCGTCATAGGTCTAAATTCTTCATTATTGGTGATTTTAATGCAAAACACCGCTCATGGAATAATGTTCAAAGCAATTCCAATGGTAATATTCTGTTTGATGATTGTTCTGCAGGTTATTACACTATTCAATATCCAAACAGCCCAACATGCTTTTCTTCTGCAAGAAATCCCTCCACTATTGATTTGGTCTTAACTGATTCATGTCAACTTTGTAGCCAATTGGTTACCCATGCTGACTTCGGTTCTGATCACCTTCCAGTAACTTTTGAAATATCCCAAGAAATAATTTGTAATCCCAACAGCTCTACTTTCAATTACCATAGAGCTGATTGGGAGCAGTATCGAACATTTATGGAATATAACTTCGATCCAAACATTCCTTTGCAAACCAAAGATGAAATTAATTATGCTCTTGAATCTCTGACTACTTCTATAGTTGAAGCAAGAGCTGCCTCAGTACCAAAATGCGAGGTTAAATTCGATTCAATTATAATAGACGATGATCTTCAGCTCTTGATCCGTCTTAAAAATGTCCGTAGGAGACAATATCAAAGAACACGCGATCCTGCCATGAAAGTTATCTGGCGGGATTTGCAAAAACAAATTAAAAAGCGATTCTCTGCCCTGAGGAACAAAACTTTTGAAAATAATATTTCTAAATTAGACCCGAGTTCCAAACCCTTTTGGAAACTCACAAAAATTTTGAAAAAACCTCAAAAGCCTATTCCAGCGCTTAAAGAAGGTGGTAAAATTTTGATCACAAATTTGGAAAAAGCTCAGAAACTTGCTAAGCAATTCGAGAGTTCCCATAATTTCAGTTTGGGTCTTACTAGTCCTATTGAGAATCAGGTTGCTCGGGATTTTCTGAATATTTTCTCTCGGGAAAATATTTTTGATGATTCCTGGGGGACTGA